GTCGTTCCGAAAAGTAAAAAATAAGGCATTTAGCGACAAAATTTTAAAAATGTCACTAATAAATAGAATTTTATGAACAAAATAATTTGGTCTCAAAATTGTTTATTTTTTGAGATAAAAAATTTGGTCCCAAAATGATAATAATTCATCATTAATGTCCAATTTTTATTATTAAAAATATAATAATGACATTTTTCACAACAAAACTATTTGGTCCCTAAAAAATAATTTTATTCTTAAATTTTGATTTCTAAAACTTTAATTTTTTGTAGTCACATGGCCAAAAAAAAAATAAAAATAAGAACACAGTTTATGGGCCCCAATTGAAAGACATGCATTCCACATAAATTGAACCCATTCAAACCAATTAAAAATCAACGAATTTCATTTATTTGTTGTTAAATGAAATATTATGACGAATCTACATGATTAAAGTTGCAATCAAAAACATATTCTTAAGAAACCAACATAATGAGACCTGCTTTTTTCGTGGCTGTATATACATGAACAATCAATTCATGAGTATACCACTATTTCTGAAGCTTTTCCGAATGAGTATTTATGTTACTGAAAGAGTATTTATGTTAGCACTACAGTTACCACTATTTCTGAGGCTTTTCCGAATTGAGTATTTATGTTACTGAAAGAGTATTTATGTTAGCACTACAGTATACCACTATTTCTGAAGCTTTTCCGAAGGAGTATTTATGCTGGCATCACAAGGAATTAAGGTTTTAAAGACAAATTTTTAAGAACAAAAATAATTTATCTATAAAAATTATATTTTTAGAGACAAAATGAAAGAGCTTTAAAAAAAAATTAATCATATTATTATATTTTTAAAACAAAAGGGAAAATTACATATACCTATCTTGAGATTTAGTTAAATTACAGGTACCCTTGAGGTTTCGAAAATTACATTCCGCCTCTTGAGACTTATATTTTCATAACAAATTACTCATTGAAGTTTATATTTTCATAATAAATTATCCCTTAATTTGTTATGCAAATATAACCTTCAAGGAGAAATTTATAATTTTTCAAATCTCAGAGAGAATCTATATTTTAATTAAATCTCGAGGAGGTGTTGATAATTTGCCCAAGACAAAACTATTTGGTTAAAAAAGAGTTAATGACTTATTACCCACAATTTTGATTCCTCCCCAATAAACTCAACTCATACATTATTTTATTTTATTTTCGTTCTTTCAACTTCAACTGTCAGGATTTCATTTCCTTCTCCATAGGAATGGCAACGGGCCGGGGTGGGACCGGGGATCGCACTCCCCGTCCCTGATCCCCAAAGGTGAAAAAATATCCGTCCCCACCCCCGATCCCCGACGGGGATCCGCACCCCCTAACGGGGATCGGGTTTCCCCAACCCCGAAATATCCCCAGCCAATTTTTATTTTTTTATTTTTTTGTTCAACACACAACACAAGAACAAAAAAAAAAAAAAAAAAAAAAAATCTGTTTTCAACAACAATCATCAACAATTTAATCTGTTTGCATGCAAATGACTCTTAATTTCACAAGGGAAGGAACCTATTTTCTCACCTTTAGTTTAATTTTCCATATGTCTGTATTTTGAGAATTTTATTTTGGACAAGTAGAAAACTCTGTTTTCAACAACAATCATCATCAACAACTTAAAAAAAAGAAAAAAAAAATCAGAAATTGAAGAGGAGAGGACTGAAATGCAGATATGAAAAAAAAAAAAACCACAAGAACAGAAAATAAAATTACTATGTGGCAATCCGTTTCATCATCAACAATAACAACAGCAATAACAGATCTGAACTTACATAATAAAAAAGAATCATGCTACAGAGCCCGAAAGCCCTGGCTCGAATTTGGCTCGAATTTGAGAAGGAAGAAGGAGGAAGAAGAAGAAGAGAAGGAGGAGGAAGAAGAAGGAGGAGAAGCAGAACTGGAGGGGCCATCAAAATCGGGCTGGAGGCGGAGGTGGAGGCGGAGCCGGGCGGAGGCAAAGGCGGAGGCGGGGCTGCGATGCGACGATCGGCCGACGAGCTACGACGAGCGACGAGCTGCGACGACTCTCTCTCGCCTCTCACCTTTGTTTCTCTCTCTCGCCTCTGTTTCTCTTCTCCTGTGTTCAAAACGAAGAACAAGAAGAAGAAAAGAAAGAAAAGGAAGAAAAAGAAAAAAAAAAAATTGAAACCCAAAACGACGTCGTTTTGGGTTTCGAGCCGAATTCGAGCCACTGATTTCAGGCCCTCAAACATTTCTCAATAAAAAAATTTTAAAAATAAGATTCGAGAGAGAAAGTGATAGGATCTACACCAACAATAACAGATCTGTTCAATGGTGGATGTAAATCTAGAGAACAAAGAGTTAGATCTGAATATGATAGGATCTGCACCGATTAAACAAATACAACATCAAATACACACACACACACACACACACATATATATATATAGAGAGGTCTTCATGACCTTTCCATTGATCAAGACATCGATCGGACGGACCACAGATGGCTTCACGGACGAACCACGATTCATGATCTGTTTCGATCAGTGGTGGTGGTGGATGTGGATGATAATGATAAGAAGTGAGAGAAATCTGAGTGAGGGATAGAGAGATGAGAGACGCAGTGAGAAGAGAGAGATGAGTCAGTAAGTGAGGGAGTGAGTGAGAGACGAGAGAGAGAGACTGATAAGTTGGTGAGACAGTGAGACTAAGAGAGAGAGAGAAGTAAAAGTGAGATAAGGTTTGGTAAAAATGAGATAAAGTTTGGTTTATATATATATATATAGAGGGGTAAAATGTAATTTCACTTTGGGGATAAACGGGGACGGGGACGGGGACGGGGACCGGCCGGGTACGGGGCTGAGACACTTATCCCCATTCCCGGGCCGAAACTGATCGGGGATTGATTTTTGAATACCATCCCCGTCCTGTTGGGGATATTTTTTGGAGAAAAACTGCTCAAATCGGGATCGGAGGGTCGGGTCCCCGTCGGGCCGGGTTTAAATTGCCATCCCTACTTCTCCACACCAATCTCTCTCTCTCTCTCTCTCTCTCTCTCTCTCTCTCTCTCTCTATGCCCTAATTTCATTGTTCTCAGTTGTTTTTTTATTTCAATCCCTCTTTCTCGCGATCGAATCCCTAATTTCATTGTTTTCGGTGGTTGTTGATTTCAATCCCTCTCTCTCGCGACCGAATCCCTAATTTCATTGTTCTCGGTGGTCCCTGATGGCTGTGAGCACAAACTGATCGTAGTGTTCTTCTGATCTCATTGATTTCAACAATTAAGGGATAACATAGCATCTCTCTCCACTGTGATTTCAGCATCCAGGTTCGATCGATTAATCGATTTTAGTCGCATAGATTTGGTTTTTGATTTCAGCATCCAGTGTGATTAATCGATTTATCGGTGTAGTTTTTGTGTTGATGATGTATTATCATAATATGATTTGTTTTTAATTCGTATTTGTGAGTGTTAGATTCAGTAATTGTGGATATGAAATAGCTGTAATTGTGGAGAGAGATAAATGCAAAATTTACATTTGTGAGTGTTTGATTCAAAATTACTTCATTTTGAAAGTAATATTGAATTCCTGATTTGTCTTTTAGTCTTAATCATAATAAGACAACGGCTCTGTTTGGTTGAGCAGTTTTCAAAATCTGTTTAGTTTGGTGAAAACAAAAATTATCTTATAATAGCATGTATCATCTTATTTGCCATAATTTTCTTAGCTGAAGTTTAAATGACTATACTGAGTCATTGATCCTGTTTGTGTGACGGTTGTCTATCTTTCCACAGGAAGGATGACAAACTGAAAACTTGTGGTACGTTGTTGTGTTGTTGTCAGGACTACACCAATGACATCAGGTAGACTCCAAGAAAGAGGGTTGGGTTTGTCTATCAATGGGGGTAGTTTTTTTTGTCAAATAAACACTGTTGAGTAGATTAGGAATTTAAATTGGTTTGGTTCAAAACTTGTTTCCTAGTCTGGCAGTGGGAATTTATAAATGTGTTAATCAAGAAGACAAATGTTAGGGAGGAGGGAGCTATTGTTTACATGGCTACTCTTCTTACTCAAGTTATGTTCATTAATTTTTTATACCCTTGTGTTTAAATGGACCTGTATGAGATATAAAATGACTATATATCACATAAGGATTTAGTTATAACTGCACGTATTCTAATTCTAATTTGATTCCTTCAATAAAAATCTTACTGGGGTGAATTATGTGTTGTTCTTACTGGCATGGGTCTGATTGTATTGCTCTTCTCTAGATCTCCTTTTGCATCTCTGTATTTTCCCCAGTGATCCTCCCTAGTTTGTCGTAAACACTACCCTAAATGACTTCCGTTAAATGGAACTCATCAATGTAAAGTTGAGGAATTTCCATAATGACTAGTTATCATGATATATGCTTCAATTTTGATGCTGCATTGTGCTGAATAAGTGATGAGTTCTGGGTTCATATTCCTTCACATCAGTGTGATTAGTGGGAACTCTTTATTGGGTTCTCACATGGTAAAGAAGCAATTGGCTCATGGTTACCTGGTGTGAGTCACCGTTCTAAACCAAGGTACTCCCTCCCCTCTCTCTTCCTCGGTCTAATTCGAAAGCTGAATAAATTATTTTCTTGTGATAGGCCTTGGTTGCCCACCATCAACTGCTATTCAGACCTTCATATTGCCTTGCGCTCTGTGACATCCATCAATAACACGTATTCAGGTAAAAGTAATTTACAAAGTATTTGTTTTTCAATCCTGCTGCAGACCTCTAATTAGAGGTCATGCCGTACAGCTCATGAGCTGTCCGGGAATTAAAAAAAAAAAAAAAAAAAACAGTGAAGTAAAAGACAAAAATAGGAGAAGAAAAAGACAAATTAGAGGTGTATTAGAGGTGCTTTTTTAGAGGTCCAAATCATTTTTCTTTGTTTTTTCCTGTTTTTTTTTTTTTGTTATTTGAACAGTAAGAAATCTTTCTCACAGTTGATTTTCAATATGTCCTCCATGAGAGTAGAACTCTTTTGTTTTCAAACGTCTCTTCGATATGTCAACTTCACCCTATTTGCCACCAGCCACCAAAATGGTTTGAAAGTTAGTAATTATGAATGTTGACGTTGGATAAGTTCATCAATCCACTGGCGGTTCCTTCAAATTGACTGAATCTCTTTCTTGGAATTATCTTATTCTAGATCTAAAGGATAATAGCATGTATGATTGTATAGTCCCAAATGGTTTTATTTGCTTAGCTGCCCTGCCCCTTTATACTGCTGATCTTTGTGTCAAATTACATTTAACTACCAATTTTTTTTCTTCTCTTCATATTCTGAGTTTTTTCTCGTGTTACTAATTTTATTTGAAGTGATAACCATATTTAAGTGCTTCCACCTACGCTTTAGAAGTTTTCCTACAATGGAATTAGCCGTTGCAGATCCACTTGAAAATATGGAAAAAGAGGTGTGGAGGTTCTTGTGCGAAAAGTGATCTGATAAGGACTATAAGGTAACTTTGTCAATCTTGTAGATGAGAAATGTTTAATAATAAAATAAACACTTTGTACTCTGACGTATGCATTTAATAATAGGTGAGATGTCGCAAGAATAAGTTGAATTGAGAGAAGTTGAAAGTGCTCCACACTGCTGGCTCAGCTCGAAAGCCATCAAAAAAGTGCAATATGATGAGGTATTAATTATAGAATCTATAATTTATGTTTTGCAATTGTGATTGAACAACGTAATCTATATTGATGTTTAATATTTTTTTTTCGTTGATTTTACTTGATGACAATATATGAATGGTCTAGATTGAAAATAAATTAAAATATTAGGATTTAAATTAATAAAATTAAAAATTCATACATTGTTTTGTTACAAGAGTCAAGCCTTAGGATTTTTTTTTTTAATTTTCCCACATATTTTTTAACACTTACACAAATTTTGACATATTTTTTACATATATATACACCTTTTATACACTAATAGCATTTTTTATATTATATTAATTATATATATGAAATGATGATATATATATTTAATTTGTTACAAATGTATTATCTGTCACTAATGATGTTGGCATCAAAGCACAACATATAATTTTGGGAAAATAACAAATCAGTTGAAAGTTGAAAAAAAAAATAAAAAAAATTAGACTAATGGTAAAGTTTATAAACTTTAATTATTAAAGTCACCAACCGTTCTATGTATTTGTAATTATTTTTGAAAAGTTACCTTGATTTATAATTTTTCCTATAATTTTTCGAAACTAGCACATCACCACATAAAATACTGCTTACTTAATTAGTCATAGCCTCAAAAGAATAACCTAATTTTTCAAATCAATTTGATTAAACCATATCTCTAAACTTGCTGTTATCATCTCCTACACTTTTTCTGAGAAGTTATTTAAAGATTTTGGAACAATATAATATGGTGTTTCAATTTAAATGCGATTGGTTCATCTCTATGTTACTTATTTTATTTTGTTGTTTCAATAAGGGTACATTCAGTAATCTTCCTTCTTTTTGAATAAATTTCCAATAAGTGGAATGAAGGCATAAAATTACATATCCAAAATTTGTGTCTAGAAATTTAATTAGAAAATTAATGTATCAGTCAAATTCAACTCTTATATATGGTGAAACACACACCTTGCCCCGGTAGGCAAAGGGGAAGTACTGCTGCCCGAATTTACACCAAATCCTGTTTTGGAGGTACTTGAGAAAATTTTCCTTGCAACTTGGGTTTGACAAATTCCTGCTTGGGCTTGTGTTGTTTGTTCTATAAATTCTTCCTGAGCAATTTATGCCATTTCCTGTTTCTGAATGGATATTATGTTGGGTATACCTCCTTATTGGAATGTAGGACCTAATTGATTTTAGAAAAAAAGTTTAATTTAGTTTAGTATTAATTATCATATATTTTTATATATTATATTTAATTTGTAGAGATCCAGTCCAATTTGAAAACAACTAAAGTTGGATAAAAAGAAAACCCTAAATTTACAATATACATATATTGATATCGTTATTTATTCTGCCGAAGAGACAGAGGAGTGCTATCAATATTGATTTGTTTTTTTGGTGACTTTCCTGGGTAAATTCAATTGTTGACTATTGGTCAATGCTTTGGACTAATCAATCAATTTGGTGGCATTTGTGTTCAAGCTTCGGAAAAATACTCTGTTCGTGGTTGGTTCGAATTCGGCTGGTTTAATAGATTTGATTTGGATTATTATTTTGGGTCTTCTTCAACTTTGGTTCTGAAGATTTTGATTCTTCTATTTGGTGAGGTCTTTCCTCTTGTTTATTTGTGATTATTTAGAATTCACCTAAGGGTGGTTTGTGAGACCATTCGTATCTCGTTTGTAATCGTTTGAAAACTTCTTTGGTTGATAGTGGAATCAGATTTCGATCCCGTGGACGTACCTCACATTGAGGGAACCACGTAAAATTCTTGTGTTGCCTTTGATTTAATTTTTTTGCATTAGTTTTTATTCCCATTGATTGATTTACTTGTGGGGAATCACATATTTTCCCTAAGAACTGGTATCAGAGCTTACGGTTTATTTGGGTTTATTTATTTGTGTAAATCAATGGAGGGGAATGTGGGTCGCATGTCTAGCTTCAATGGAAGTAATTGGGTAACTTGGAAAACTAAAATGGAGGACCTATTATTTTGTAAAGATTTGTATGGACCCATTGAGGGTGATAGTGGCAAACCCGAGGGTATGAAAGATGATGAATGGAATAGGCTTAATCGAAAAGCCATTGGTGTTATCCGTCAATAGATTGATGACAGTGTGTTTCATCATGTTGCTACTGAAACTTCAGCACATGATTTATGGAAAAAATTAGAAGGTCTTTATGATAGGAAATCAGCCACAAATAAAGCTTTTCTGTTTCGTAAGTTGGTTAATTTAAAATATAAAGATGACAGCCTCATTCCAGAATATTTGAATGAAATAAAGAGTATTATTAACCAACTTGCTTCTATAAAAATTATTTTTGATGATGAGTTGCAGGCTTTGATGCTACTTAGTTCTTTGCCCGAAAGTTGGGAGACTTTGGTTGTGACAGTTAGTAATTCAGCACCTAATGGAGTTATCACAATGGGCCAAGTCACTAGTAGCCTGTTGAATGAAGAAACTAGAAGAAAATCAGTGGGTTCCTCTCATTCGGAAACATTCGTTGTGAGAGGCCGAAACAAAACAAGGGGGAGGAGTAAGACTCCTCATGGTCGTGATCAAAGCCGTGACAAATCAAAAGATGGTTCTTTTACAAAGAAAGACGTTGAGTGTTATTATTGCCATGAGAAAGGGAACATGAAGCGAGAATGCCGAAAGATCAAGAATAAGGAGAAAAGGCGTGACAAAAGTGTGGACAAGAAGCAAGAAGACACAACGGCAGTTACTACCAATGGTGATCTCATGGTCGTTTGTGAAGATGATTGTATCAATTTTGTGGGCCAAGAGAGCAATTGGGTGATTGATTCTGGTGCTTCTTTTCATGTGACTTCTCGAGTTGATTTCTTCACTACCTACACCGAAGGAGATTATGGTTTTGTTCGAATGGGTAATGAAGGTTTGTCCAAGATTATTGGCATGGGTGATGTTTGCTTGGAAACAAATTTGGGCTGCAAGTTGTTGCTTAAAGATGTGATGCATGTTCCCAACATTCGCCTCAATTTGATCTCTACTGGGAAGTTAGAAGATGAAGGCTTCAACAACAAATTTGGTGATGGAATATGGAAACTCACAAAGGGTTCTTTGGTGGTGGCTAAGTGCAAGAAGACTCATACACTTTATTCGATGCAAGGAAAAATTTGTAAAGGTGTTGTCAATGCACTTGAAGATGATACTTCTACCGAATTGTGGCACAAGCGGCTTGGCCACATGAGTGAAAAGGGGCTGCAAGTTTTGTTCAAGAAAGAGCTTCTACCCGGTTTGAAAGGTACACATCTCAAAACTTGTGTTCATTGTTTGGCAGGTAAACAACATAGAGTTTCTTTTCATAAAAATGTTGCTTCTAGAAAAGAAAATGATTTGGAGTTGATTCATTCTAATGTTTGTGGTCCTTTAAAAGTTAGAACACATGGTGTGCACTTTATTTTGTTACTTTTATTGATGATTATTCAAGGAAAGTTTGAGCTTTTTTACTAAAAACTAAAGATCAAGTTCTAGAAGTATTTAAGCATTTTCAGGCCATGGTTGAAAGAGAAACATGGCAGAAATTGAAGTGCATCCGATCAGACAATGGTGGTGAATACATTGGGCCATTTGATCAGTATTGTCGCAGCCAAGGTATTCGGCATCAAAAAACAGTTAAGAAGACTCCTCAACAAAATGGAGTTGCCGAGAGGATGAACCGCACCATTGCGGAAAGAACAAGGTGTTTGCTTTCACAAGCTAAATTGCCAAGATCCTTTTAGGGTGAGGCATTGAAGACAGCGGTTGATGTGATCAATTTGTCTCCTTGCTATCCTTTGAATGGTGATGTTCCTGAAAGAGTTTGGACTGGCAAAGATGTGTCTTATGAGCACTTGAGAGTGTTTGGTTGCCGAGCTTTTGTTCATATTCCAAAGGATGAGAGGTCCAAGCTTGATAGTAAGTCAAGACAATGTATTTTTCTTGGCTATGGGCGTGATGAATTTGGGTATAGATTGTGGGATCCGATCGACAAGAAAGTCATTCGAAGCCGTGATGTTGTGTTTCTTGAAGACCAAACAATTGAAGACTTTGGCAAAGTTGATCAACCAGAGCCAAAAACTAGTGATCTCATTGACATGGATCCATCTCCTTCATCTTCAGTTGATGATGAAAATGGGAGAGATGTGCAACCACCTATTGAAGATGTAGAGGATGATGCTAATCCTAATGAAGTTGAGCCAGAAATTGAGGAAGAGCATCCAACTCAAGAACCGTCACCACAACTTGAGTTGATGAAATCTACAAGGGACCGACAACCTTCAAGAAAGTATCCTCCTAATAAATTTGTGTTGATTTCCGATCAAGGGGAGCCTGAGAATTACCAAGAAGCAATTGAGCATGCAAAGAAAGGTGTTTGGAAAAAGGCCATGGACGAGGAGATGAATTCCTTGCTTGAAAACCAGACTTATGATTTAGTGAAGTTGCCTAAAGGGAGGAAAATTCTGAAAAATAAGTGGGTTTTCAAATTGAAGAATGATGGCAAGAATCAGAGGTACAAAGCACGTCTTGTTGTGAAAGGTTTTGGGCAAAAGAAAGGTATTGACTTTGATGAGATTTTCTCGCCGGTTGTAAAGATGTCTTCTATTCGGGTTGTACTTGGCATGGCTGCAAGTATGAACCTTGAAGTTGAGCAACTTGATGTGAAAACTGCATTTCTTCATGGTGATCTTGAAGAAGAAATTTACATGGAGCAACCGGAAGGTTTTGTGGAAAAAGGAAAAGAGAAATTTGTTTACAAGTTGAAGAAAAGTTTGTATAGCCTCAAGCAAGCCCCGCGACAATGGTACAAAAAATTTGACTCTTTCATGATGAATAATGGTTTTTCTAAAACCACTTCGGACCATTGTGTGTTTGTGAAAAATTTTCCAGATGGCAAATTTATTATTCTTTTGCTTTATGTTGATGACAGGTTAATTGTGGGTCAAGATTCTACCATGATTAACAGGTTGAAATTAGAGTTGAGCAAGTCTTTTGCTATGAAAGATTTGGGACCGGCAAAGCAAATACTTGGTATGAAAATTGTTCGTGATCGCAAAGAGGGGTTGATTTGATTGTCTCAAGAAAGCTACATTGAGAAAGTTCTTGAGAGGTTCAACATGAATAAAACAAAGCCGGTTGGTTGTCCACTTGCAGGTCACTTCAAGCTTAGTTCGAATCAATGTCCAATAAGTGAGAAATACAAAGAAGAGATGTTGAAAGTTCCTTATGCTTCAGCAGTTGGTTCTTTGATGTACGCCATGGTTTGTACAAGGCCGGATATTGCTCACGCCGTTGGTGTGGTGAGTCGTTTTCTCTCTAATCCGGGTAAAGAACATTGGGCAGCGGTAAAATGGATTCTAAGGTATCTTCGAGCGACTTCGAAGGTGTGTTTATGTTTTGGGAATGGTAAGCCGATGCTTGATGGGTTCACAGATTCTGACATGGCCGGTGATGTTGATTCCAGGAAATCTACTTTGGGGTATTTGATGACTTTTGCAGGGGAAGCTATGGCATGGCAATCTAAATTACAAAAATGTGTTGCTCTCTCAACTACTGAAGCTAAATTTATTGTCATTACGGAAGCTTGTAAAGAAAAGTTATGGTTGAAGAAATTTTTGCAAGAATTGGGTTTGAGGCAAGAAAAGTATGTGCTTTATTGTGATAGTCAAAGTGCTATTCATTTGAGTAAAAATTCTACTTTTCATTCGAGATCGAAACACATTGATGTGAGATACCATTGGATTCGTGATGTGTTAGATTCGAAATTGTTGCAACTTGAAAAGGTTCACACAGATGATAATATTTCAGATATGTTGACAAAGATTTTGTCGAGGGACAAACATTTAAAGTGTCGAACTTTGGCGGGTATGGTTGATTTCTCCACCTGAGTCGGTGGGGGGAGAATTGTTGGGTATACCTCCTTATTGGAGTGTGGGACCTAATTGGTTTTGGAAAAAAAGTTTAATTTGGTTTAGTATTAATTATAATATATTTTTATATATTATATTTAATTTGTGGAGACCCAATCCAATTTGGAAACAACTAAGGTTTGATAAAAAAAAAAAAACCCTAGATTCACAATATACATATATTGATATTGTTATTTATTCTGTCGAAGAGACAGAGGAGTGCTATCAATATTGATTTGTTTTTTGGTGACTTTGCTGGGTAAATTCAATTGTTGACTATTGGTCAATGCTTTGGGCTAATCAATCAATTTGGTGGCATTTGTGTTTAAGCTTCGGAAAAATACTCTGTTCGTGGTTGGTTCGAATTCGGCTGGTTTAATAGATTTGATTTGGATTATTATTTTGGATCTTTTTCAACTTTGGTTCTGAAGATTTTGATTCTTCTGTTTGGTGAGGTCTTTCCTTTTGTTTATTTGTGATTATTTGGAATTCACCTAAGGGTGGTTTGTGAGACCATTCGTGTCTCGTTTGTAATCGTTTGAAAACTTCTTTGGTTGATAGTGGAATCGGATTCCGATCCCGTGGACGTACCTCACATTGAGGGAACCACGTAAAATTCTTGTGTTGCCTTTGATTTAATTTTTCCGTATTAGTTTTTATTCCCATTGATTGATTTACTTGTGGAGAATCACATATTTTCCCTAACATATTAGATCGCCTATAACAGCATATGAGTAAGATTTGGGGATAGTGTGATAGTGTTTTGCAACTTAATTTAGTTTAACAATGTTGAGCTCAACTATGATCCATGCTAGTTTAACAATGTTGGGCTCAACTATGATCCATGCAAGGTAACCGTTCTTTATCTTGTTTTCACAACATCAATGTAAATTGTGTCTATCTTGGAGTGATTATTTTTAAATTTTTGTAGCAAGTTGATTTAGTTTAATCTTTGTTAACTCTTGAATATTGATAGTGAATTTTGGACGGTTTTGTGTACTAAGATTTATGTGTGATTGCTGCAGATACTACAATTGGCACATTAAATTGCAATCTATTAAATCAATCTATCATTGGATAATTTTAATTGGTAATCTATTTGAGAGTTTGGCCTATTTTATGCAGGTCTTACAAGCTTGTGTCGATTTGAAGTTTGGGAGCTCTCTGCTAGATTTTGAATGACATTTCAATGAAACCATTGAGAAGAAGATGCGATGAGTTGAGTTGTTTTGTTATGTTGGTAGATATAACTCCAATTACAGTCTGTTCATTGAATAGTTGAATGTCACAAACAATGCTTATGGCACTAGCCTTATAAATTGGAAATGATACTTTTGAAATCTCTGTCAGTTTATGATATACAATCAAGATATTACATACTAATGAATCAGAGCATGATATTTGTTTGTTATTGAAATATCTTTTGATTAAGCCTCTTTGAATGTATGAGTATTTTTTTTTTTTCATGTAGTTGAATTTTAATTTGGAGATGAACAGATGGTTTGGTGATATATTTGATATTTTTTGTTTGGTTGTTGAGAAATCAAGAAAGGAATATAAGTTGATGTTCATACTAGTATTTTTAGAGTAATTGTTACCAAAAAAAAGAAGGAACTTTTACAGATCAATTTTAGTTGTCTCAAAAAAATTATAACCTTTATACACCTATTTTATTTGTTCCAAAAACTAAGGCTTTGTTTGGTTTGTGTTTCTCAAAAAATTTTGAGAAAAATTCTCTACAAATAAATTTTCAAAAGTAATTAAACCAAACAAAATTTTCCAAATTTTTTTTTCCAAAACTTGTTTGGTTTACAAATTTTCCAAACAAATCTCTCTGTCATACACATCAAATCAATCACTTTTCTAAAACTTTCTCTCAAAATAATTTTTCAAAACATCTTTTGAAAAAAAACCAAACCAAACAAATTTTCGTACTTTTTATCTCAAAACATGTTTCTCAAATACAAACCAAACAAGGCCTAAAACTTTTAAAGACCACTTTCATTTGTCCCAAAAACTAAACTTTAGAGACCAATTTCTATTGTCTCAAAAATTAATTTTTGTCTTAGACTTTTAGAGACAAATTTTAGTTGTCTCAAAATCAAAACTTTTTGCAACCACATATTTTTGTCTTTAAAAGTCTATTTATAGTAACAAATGCAAAATTTTGTCTTTAAAAGTCATTTTTTGACTTTTTTGGGCGGACCATTTGGGACAAATTTCGCGACGAAAGAAATTTGTTGGCTAAAGTTTTTTCCAACAAATATTACACTTTTAGGAATGGAATAAATTTGTTCCTAAAAAGCTGATTTCTTGTAGTGTAGATACCGATATAATTCTAGCATAATCTGCAAGTAAATTAACCAATGATAATATAAATCAAGGCAATTTTGTTGAACTATAATTAAATCCTTTGCATCCCGCAGATGAAGTAATGGCAATAACTAATTCTTCTTCATCCCCAATGGGTGTTTGACTTATTACTCAATATCTATATGGAATACATCAGAATGAATACTCCGTATCAATTTATGAAGAAGTTCATAAAGAAGGATAACTGATTTCTATGAACTACTTTTTAGCCCGGTAATAATCATGGGTTCATAACATCATGGATGGTTTGCGTTTCTAATAGATTAAGACATACCTATTGATACACACACACACAAAAATGATGAATTTTGCTTTATTCAACCAGAATCTATAGCTATGTGCTTTGCAGAACAAAAAATTTAGTAAAAGACTTGAAAAAATCATTCAATGGGATGATGGGGATAAGCAGAGTTTTAAAGGCTTTCCTGAGACTCGCTTGATGCTCGACTCGCCTCGAGGCTAAGGTAAAACGCATCAAGGCTTTGATTTTTAGGCATTACTCCCCAAAGGCTTGCGCATCACAGTTTGAGACATGCGCCTTAAGTGCGCTTTGTACGCTTTTTGCGCGTAAGCATATGAGGAGTACGCACATGCAGAGGTTGCCTTGGGCTTTTGTTAAACTTAGTCTATTAGATTGTTTAAACATTAAAAAATAAATAAAAAGAAACCCTTTTTGCAACTATATTCTACAGGGAAAATTAAGTAAATGATCAAAAAAAAAAAAAAACCACAGTTAATTGTCAAGTGAGAAGCTCAATCACTAAAGTCAAGAAAATCAATTTCATTTTCAAAAGGAAAACTTCCTTTTATGTAGAAGAATGTTCAAAACCTTAAGGAGAAAAGGATTTACACCTTTATATTTAATTGTTTTTATTTGTTTTTTACTATTTTAAAATATTTAATTTATTCACTAAATATTAAAATTTGAAATTTGAAATACTTACACCTCAACGTCTTGAGCCTTACACCTCACCTCATGAAGGATAAAACGCCTCAAGGTACACATTTGCCTTTAAAAACCTTGGGGATAAGTGAGAAGAAACTGATTCTTTATTAATTTGATTATAGCTCAGTACATGATATTTACACAAGTCTCACTGTTGAAAATTAGACTTTTAGAGGCATTTAAAAAATGCCGCAATAGCTATCAAAAACGCCGCTAATTCTTTTTGTGACACTTAGTATCAAACGTCGAAGACGCGGTCGTTGCTGTATCTTTATGGCGCTTTAAAAGTGTCGTTATATTAGTATAGATGTTAAATGTGTTACATAATGATAAAATGACGTCATACTAGTATTTAATGATGTTTTAAAAACGTTGTGATAGTTTTTTTTTCTATTTTAAAATATAACCGTTGACACTATACCATAGTGGCGTTTGAAAAATGCCGTTATAGCTTCATTTTTTAAAAAAAAAAAAAATGTGCTAATTCTGTGAAATTTAACTAAAAAAATACCTGAAAAATAGCAATAATATGATTTTTTCTCTTCTTATTTTTATGTTTTTCAAAAACCACCATAAGGATACTGATTGATTGAATACAAGAGCTTTATGCTAATGCTCAAATTCCATAAGCTAGAGGCAGAAACAACGAAGAGGACACGATCCACAAAAGATGGGTAAAAAATAAACACCACATCTACATCACTAGAAATTTATTTAGAGAAATTGGTATACTATTGACCTTAGCTCCAAAGTATGTTGCACATTATAAAGGATCCCCTTCTAACTTTTGCCTTCCCTGAAAACATATACCTCTGGTACTCCATAATAAAAAGGGAAAAGGGTAGATCACTTTATATAAAATCTATAACTCATTTGCTCAAGAAGCACAGTGCCTTGAATTACAAAATACTATCAAGCTAATTTGGTGTGATCAGAAAACGCTTCCATAATCTGATTAGAATAAAAACTACCATCGAAAGTCAAATTCTCATTTCCAGCCATTTAAAATGTTGACTTTCAGATCAATTAAGAACAGAGATCATATAGCAGTATCTACAATAACATATTTCCATAAATCCTACCTTGTAAAATCAATCACAATATAGTATAATTTATCTAGTGTAATTGGTAATTTCAGCCCAGCCACCAATCTCACCCTTCCAAAAAGAGAAGGAAAGAGAAAGAAAAACCAAAGGAAAAAAAGGTGAAAACCTTGTTATATTACATAAGATGACATTAGATAAAGCAAAGCTAAGTAGTAGTTTACTATTTCTGATTCCAGGCAATGGAATCAACATACATGATACATGATACTCTTTCCAAACTTAAGAGAATGTAATCAACATACATAATACTCTATCAGATTCCAGACTTTTACAAACTAATAAGGTACCAAATTGGTGAAGTTCTAGATTATTCTTCATCGTATCACAGCACCACATGGTTCAACCTTCAATTAATATACACTTTGGTTAACAACAAACAAACAAACAAACAAACAAAAAACTACAATACATTACGTCCACAATTCACATAGCATTTATTCTCAGGATGTGAAGAACCTGCATACTTCCTCCCCCTTGCATAATTTATAGATGTATATATAAGCAAATACTTTTGGCGCCAAATGATTTATATAGTGACCGAAAGACAAAAATCCTTAATTTTGTGATTGCATTGCCATAAGGAAGAATCATACCCGTTTGTGATCCTACTCAACAGTAAAATCCCCTGCAAAGTGTACCAAATCAAACACAAATTTTTGGGAATCATTTGTTCCACCAAATGACTGACCCTACACACATAATTAGGCATGCATGTATGTAAATAAAAAGCAAGAGAATAAAGAGTGAGCATAATTTGACATTTGTATTGTGCTACCAGTACTCATGTATGAAGTCATACAATGCACTAGAAAGGTGAAACACTTTACCAGTTTAGTTGTTGCAACCTCCACCATCTTGTTCAACAAATCCAATGTTCAATAGGTATACATATATATAGAGCGTAACAGACAGGGGGACAGAGAGGAAAACATGTCAGAATATGAGCAGCCTACCAATCAAAGTATGCAAGGCTTGCGTAGAACCCCAGATCATCAATATCTATCCTGAAAGTATCGAGGACCATGAGAAAAATTAATGCTGGATGCATCAACCTGAATTCTATAGAAAAAATTAATGCAAAAAATCCATAGTATGACAAGGGCAATCCAAATCTAAGAGCATAAACCAAAGGAAAAAAAAAAACATCCCTGAGAGCATAAACCAAAAAAGCATTTACCTTTGCAATACTGGCAGCTCATAGCTTCCCTGAAAAAAAAATAAAAAATAAAAATAAAAAAATCAAATGATTTCTTGTATAAATTGTATATGGAATTGGCATGTAACCACCCCAAAAGTAGATTAACAGCAAACACTCATTTTCTATTAATGTGGGCTGTCCTAGTTCAAGAACAAGAATAAAAAGTCAAGGTCCTCTTGATGATAGTAAGTTTACGGGTTTTGTCAAGATGACCAACAAAACTAATCCCTTCACTAAGAAAGCTAACAAATCAATCTCAATACGCACTTATCAACAGCCACAGAGTCTAGCAATTAATCTAAAATAGCTATTTGCTACCATTTTACATCAAGTTAGGAAAACTACAAAGATAAAAATAAAAAAGAAGTTGTCCTTTCCCTTATCAAGTAAGAATGTCAATGCAGTATCAGTTTTCATAGGACATTGAAAGCAATGAATTCTTTGAGGTAGATGGTTCAACTTATCAGTCATGTAATACTCCAACAAGACCCCTATCAAGGATTAAGGGAAGAGAGTAGGGCCCAATTGTATGGACCACATTCATGACCCAAACGGATTTCCCATATTCCAATAAAGCAGAATTGAAGCCACCAAAAAGGGCATTTATGTCCAACACATCTAAGCATATTATAAGGTGGAGAAGGATCCTCATCACCAGGTCTCTTTGGATGATCAGAAAAAATTAAGGGCAATTTTGGATTGAATGGTCTATCGACATTATAGATGACATGTCAGCAAAGAGGTTTATCATCTTGGATGAAGTCATTTTAACAAAAGTGTCAAACACAGTACCTGAAGAATTTGCTTGGGTTTAACAAAATCCACGAGAAGCTTTTGAAACTTTCCCTGTATATAAAATAATCTGAAGAAGCATAAATGTGTGCTGTTAATCCTCATTTCATTACAAGCATTTCAAGAATGTCAAATTGTAATAAATGAAATTCTTCTTCTGTGTTTTTTTTTTCCCCCTAAGTGAATTTCTCATATCCAAATTTATGGTTTAAAAAAAATCCCAGAAACCTTGCATAACAAGCCCAAACCTTTTGTTCACATAAGCCAAAGGTAGTCATGAAAAGAAAAGAAAAGAAAATTCATGCTAGATGTTTACCTCTTATGTGATGGATCAGCTAGAATTTCGGTAGCAAGTTCATCTAGGACCACTTCCCAACCCAGTGGAATTGGTTGGTCGTCAACAAAAGGATAGCTGTATGGGCATATTAAACTAAGTGGAAAAATATGTGTAAAATATACAAAGGCATCAGATCTATTGTTCAATATCCTACTTGTGTGCTTTGCATGCTTCAAGAGCCATAATTGCTTTCCTAAGGTTTTTCTTTGACTTTGTAACAATCTTAGCAACGAAACTCAATGGTAGATCAAAGTCTTCCTTCCTTGCTATCTGAATAAGAACCTCCATGATCTGCAAAATTGTGAGGGAAAAGAGTCAAAGAAAATTCAGGGTACAATATGAGATTTTAGCCCCAGAAGATTCCCCAGCAGACTGCATACACTGCACATAGTGAATGGACCTAAAGACCAACAAAATCCCTCAACATTTCTATATATTTGTAGTATTTGGATTCTTGTTAACAATTCTATGAAATATTTTTGATTAAAAGAATCAAGATACCAATCACAGCCATGTTAGGAACCCATAAGAAATGAGATTAAAATCTTCTGAAAACATCAATTGACTCTTCATGGCTTCCCAAATTAACTCACCAATTGTTTTCCCTGGAATAGTTTTTCTAGAGATTATCAACTATGTTTATAATATGTGTGCTGATTGCAGGTCTGTATACAGGTGTTGGATTCATTTAATTCCCATTTTTTATTACATAGGAAACATCGAATTGTTGATTATCCATTTTCTTTCAAAGTGATATGAAGTGTTCCTATGGCCATCAACCATGCACACCATAAAGAAAGAAGAGGATAATAGTATAATGTAAGAAGTGTCATAAAATGCAACCAAGAAACAACTACTATTCAATATCAATGAGCATACTTACTTCATGAGTCACAGAAGCATCAACCTCAATAACTTTGCAGCAATTTTTAACTTGTTCAAGAATGTCCACATCATCTTCAGAGCAGAGTATGAGTTTACATGAATCTGTGTAACAGTCCATGATCCATTTTATCAAGTGCTGAATGTTCTCGGAAACTTTGTCAACATCATAAAGAACCATAACTGTAAGCAACCAAACTAAATCTTGTAAGCTTCATACGATCTGCGTGACATTATTTTGGAGGAAACTATGTTGCTAATAGGAGAGGACCTTTATAATCTGCTTTGAAATTCACACTGCCATCTATTGCTTAACATCATGTTTCCTATTTTGATTACTTAGTTAAATCAAAACTAAATAAAAAATTTCAACTTTTTTTTTTTTTGGTGATGTAAGGTAAATGTAAGATCAATACAACTCTTCTATAATTCTGTTGATTATTTAAAAAGCTAAAAATAAAAAAAAATTAAATAAGAAGGTTAGAGTTTTAAAAATTTTACACCTATGATTAGTAATTTTTTAGAAGATAAAGCTATAAAAAAAAATACTAAAAAATAAAGTGTATAGCATAGATTTGAGCCACATTAGAGTTTAGGATGTGGTCGACTGACTTTCTTCCTTCTAACATTGCTCTCTCTAAGGCCATTTGGGCTTCCTTTATTCAATATTAGTTGTGGAACAAGCATGAAGGATAATAGCGATGTTGAACAAGCATGAAGGATATGACAAGATCGTTTCAAATCAAATATCAAAACCATTCACAAGATTTCACAGGATTGATCTCAACAACCAAATCGACATTGCATCATCAGTTCAGCTTGAGAGAGAGAGAGAGAGAGAGAGAGACAGTGGAGCTCACTAATCTGAATCGCTGAGATGAACTTCGATTTCTTTTTCGAGAGAGAACTTCGAAATGGTTGAATCACCGATCTAAAATGATCTGAACTTCAATTTCGAGAGAGAACTTTGAACTTCGAACTTCGAAATGATCTGAATCACCGATCTGTTTGCCTAAGGCCGATCTGAATCTATGAATCTAATTAGGGTTTAGACAAGAGAGAGAGAGAGAGAGAGAGAGAGAGAGAGAGAGAGAGAGAGTAGAGCTCACCGATCTGAATCGATTTTGTAACGCCCTCAAAATAATAACATTAAACCCATCAATATAGACATGCATTGATACATAAAAACTCCACATTCTTCTATTCATCAGAGTTCCATTACAAAAAGTATTACATGTTAACGACAAAAGCAAATGCCCTACGGGCTTACAGCTTTCCAAGTTAACACTTGGTTACAATAAAAGAGTACTAACTCATTTACACATTAAGCCCTTGGCTTGAATTTACATGTAATACATCAAAAAAGAAATAAGCATAATTAAATTCTGTAGGGTGACTTCAGTGCTTTTGAAAGGGTTCAATCAAAGCATTGCAAGACTGAACTTTGGAGCTCAATTGGCCTCACCTTCTAGAAGTTCAATCATAATGAGAATGATTGGAAAAACAAGCATCACCATTCCTCAAGGCTTAACATCACCAAAACTCGAGCATTATATATATATATATACATTTATCCTTTTAATACAAATTGGAGTCCTAGATTGTAGGCTTAAAGCATAACAAGAAGGATAAAGCAGAGCAAAAATGCTTCCCATATGGAATGTAATACCAAAAGTAACTTCTCAAGCATTAAAGTTCAAAAGTTAACATTCCACCGCAGCATATAAACATGCATAGGAACACATATGAGCACATCGTTTAGAATAAAAGAAAATAAGATTTACATGGATAGGGAGAATGATGAAAATCTGAGAAAATAAAATGATATAGGTTTGGTTCAAGTAGGTACCTTTTGAAAGCTTAATGAGAACCAAACTACTAGCATTTGCTGTGGACTGGAGCATTGGTCCCAAAACATGGGTTGGACACACTCTTACAACATCAAGCCCACTTCTTTTCGCATACCATCATACTTAATGACTCATTCCAGTGATTAGTTTCTGTTTGCCTAATCATCATGCATTGTTTACAACAATCACGACTATCCTCCACCGATAGCCCAAAGCAGTTATTTCTATACAAAAAATAAATGCAACAATGGATATACAATCAACATTTCAACCAGGTGAGCGATAAATAATCCAACTACACCCCTTTCCCTTTCCAATTTCCACATTCTCAATTCAATTCCTCATTTCCAACAATTAATTATACAAATTAATCAACCAATGTAATTAGGGCATTTTCCATAATTAACATTACAACCCGTAGGTTCCATTTTCATTAATGTTTTAACATTAATTTCACCTTTTCCATGCCAAACATGCATCTAGGCTTTATATAGCTAAAACCTCAACTTTTGTAAATTTACACAAAAGCCCCAAATTTTCACAAAATTACCAAACCAACCCCAACATCTCAAAATACTAAAATTTAAAGACAAAGCTCATAGTAAGGAGTAGGTTATCCCTACCTCAAAGAATGACACCCAATGGAGATGAAGACCAAAACCAAAATGCTTCAAATTCCGAAATTTTTAGATTAAAATGTAGCCCTCGACGATCAACACAACTTTCGTAAAGACCAAAAGTGAGCAAACAACTCCTACTAGATCAAATCTAAGAGAGAAGGGCCGGTTTTAGAGTGAGAAGCTCTGAAAATGGCTTTTTGAAAAAGTAAGAGAGAGAAAAGATCTTGAAAAAGTGATATAAAAGTCGAATCTCGCTTTTAAATAAGAGTCGCCCCGCTCGAGCGTCAAACTCCCCGCTCGAGCGGCCCTCACAGACTCCCGCTCGAGCGGCCAATCCCCCGCTCGAGCTTCAGATGCACACTCCCAGCACTTTTGCAGACAGGTCTCCCGCTCGAGCGTCCAACTTCCCGCTCGAGCGGCACTCACACAATCCCGCTCGAGCGGCCAATCCCACGCTCGAGCGTCGAACACTGCACAGGAAATACTGGATGGGTGAAACTCCCGCTCGAGCGCCAAAACCCCCGCTCGAGCGGACAGGTCAAAATCTGGGCAACTAGTTTTGGTTTCTAATCTCAACCAACCTGTAACAAACCTGCCCAACGCATCTTATAACTCAAATACAAAGTAAGAAAGGATGTACACCAGGTAATAATCAACTACTATCATCCACGGACACATGTCCGGATCACTGTACAACAAGGGTAAACCCGGGATCGCTATAGATTTTGAGAAGAACTTCGATTTTGAGATAGTGGAGATCGAAATGGCTCTGAGATATTAATGAGGTTTAGACAGTAGAGAGAGAGAGAGAGAGAGAGAGAGAGAGAGAGATTTGGAGATTCAAAAAGGGTAAAAAGAGTGAAAGAGGGAGCACCTGAGAGATAACCCATTTGAAGGCGTTTATAAACGTCTTCTATTCATGAAACGACACCGTTTTATTTAAAGAAAAATGCGACGTTTATAAAACGCTGTTAAATATTCTGAACAGTGACATTTTAAAAAACACCACTAAAAATACGCCACCACAACCCATATTTCCAGTAGTGTCTCATTCTGTTTATATGTAACAAACTCTTAACCAACTACCTAACTAACTAACTAACTAATGGTATCTACTTTATTGTTACAACTATATCTTGAGTATTGAGCTGCATGCGTGGCTTGGCTACTTGATGATGGCTGATGATGGCTCAATACTCTTATCAATAAGGCAATATCTCAAATAAAACCTCTTTGAAGACCTTTATGGAAATGAAATGAGAAGAACCTATATTCAAACTTCAAGTTGATAAAACATCGTACAAAGAAAAAAGTGAGTAATATATCACAAAAGGAACAATTACTACTACAAGTTAATTGCTCAAACAAAGATGATGAAAAACCAACTCATTCAATAGGCAAGACCAAGATTTTCTAACTCACATTGAATCCTTTGAATCCATTCTAATGTAAGTAATCTACCTACCAAGATAAAAGCTTCAACAATTAACTCTTTTTCCATTAATTCTGAGTTATGATCTTAATATATAATAAGAAATCAACCAAACATATACTTTTTTGGGGTGTTGTATAGAGCTAGAAATTATAAGCAAACACTAAACATTCAAGCAGAATAGAATGTGTAGATTATTCCAATAATTAAATTGAATATCAATAATAATGGTTAAAAAGCAAGCATAGAAAATCATATAGATATATGAATATATGTATATGTAAGATGTGAAGCAGCAGAGGTTTGATTGTACCAGCTGTGCAAGCGCTTGCGAAGCAGAGGTTGATGGTGTAATTTTCTAGGCAAGAGTTCAACAATAAGCATTTTATGAAACTTTATCATGAATTCATTGTAGAAAGTCAACAATCAAATAATCAACGACAATGCATATCGCCAAAATTACATGCTACATTGAGGGAATTTGTCGAAAATGAAAATGCATTTTAACTGATTTGTAAGTTCATCCAACAAACAACCCCAAAAACTAAAAATTCATCAAACGCTACAAAAAATGCAAGCAAATATTTAAAGGAGGATTTACGTATGGGTCCTAATATGTAGACTTATTATCCAATAGATCCTATAATAATTAATGGCGTTTTTATCAAGTACTATTAAAAAAGTCACTAATTGTTAATTTTCGGCGGCAATTTAAAAATTGTCATAAAAATGTTACTAACTATAAGTTTTAGCATCAGCTTAAAAAAATCATCACAAAAAAGTTACTAATTTTTAACTTTTAGCGATAGTTTGAAAAATTAGTCACAAAAAAGTCACTAATTACAAGTTGGGCAAATTACAAAAAAAAAAAAAAAAAAAAACTCTAGAATTTCGCATGTTTTGCAATTTAAACCCCAAGGTTTCAAATGTAATGATTAAAACCTTAATGTTACTTACATGTCACAATTTAGCCCCTCCGTCCATCTCCGTCTCATTCAGCTAATGGAAATCTGTGCAAAATTTTTAGATTCAAATCCATATGTTCAAACCCTTATAGCTTCCTCGTCGTAATTCCGTTTTGCCTCATTTTTGCATTGTTGGATTCATCTCATGGCCTAGTTTTCATTCCGCACCTCATACTCCTTGTTCCACCTCTTTTTGCGTGCCGTCAAAGCTCCAAAAGTTGGCCAAAAATTAGATTTTTCACTCTTTTTTTAGAAAAAAAAAAATTAAATCGACATGTTCAAACCATTGTATCTCCCTTGTCGTAACTCTATTT